CGAATACCTAATCAGTTATGACCACAGTGAAAGGATGAGGATGGGTGGGAAGAGAGTGTTTGTGTGTGTGCTAAGGGACGGAGAGCAGAGGGCTAAATCTTCCTTCTCCACCACGGGAAATCAGAGGATAAGGCCCCAAACTCAAGTTATTTAGAAAAAATGAAGGTAAACACCAAAATAGTCTGCCAAAAAGGATGAACTGGGTCTCTAGGGAGAGGAATGGGGCAGGGGAATGTTCTTTTTTGTAATAAGCATTGTAGAAATAGTTAACCATATGTGCAAGTATAGTTCATAAAAAACTAAAAAAATATGACTACAAAAAATACAAATAAAAAACTTAAATGAGTCCACAATGAGAGTATAGGGCGGAATATGCTCTTCGCCTGTAGGGTAATCTTAGAGGTAGTCATGCACAATCTCCCTTTTCCATCTGTAAGATGGTAATTTTTTAAAAATCAGAAAGGACAGACAAAACAGTTGAAGGTGTTAGGAGACAAGACTGAATCTCTGTAGTTCTGTTTCCTTGGGGACACTGCTTGTTTTCCAAGGAAGGATTCTGGGTGTGCCACGCTGGATGTCACCCCTCCCAAGGAGGCTCATCACGTGCTCCAACACGCTGGCCCTAGCCAAGGGGCTCCACTGCAGGAGGGAGAAAGCGGTGGGGCCATGCAATGGCTGGTCTGCGTCCCATGGGAGGCTCTTTTCTGAGGACTTCCAGAAATGACAGCATGTATGTAAACAGAGGACAGAAAGCAAAGTCCCAGAGTTCTAGTCATAGAAGAAAAACCCTGGGCTGCTGCTATCAATGGAATCTCTTTGTACGCAGATTGAGGTCTGGGGACATCCGAGTTATGTGCATACATACATATCACCAGGCTGTTTATTCAACAAGTCTCTACTGAGCACCTACCCCATGCCCAGCGCTGCACCAGGCCCCTGGAGAATGCAAGGTAAGGTTTGGCGTCCGCCCGCTAGGAGCTTACAAAACTAGGGGCAGAGATAAGATGTACATGTGACTGAAGCAGCATGTGACACATACAAAGTGGGCAACTCCAAGACAGTGTGGCGGCTAAGAGACCACCAAGACCCAGAACTGTCGTAGTCGTCTCCTAGAGCAGGGGAGGAGTTACATGAGGGGCGGCAGAGTGCTTGCAATGGGCAAGGTCGAGGCTGGGCGTCGATCCGGCGGGAGCAGGGAGCCTACCTGCACAGAGGCCAGGACTGGGGACACCTTGCTCCCTCTCTTCACACTCCTGCCGCCCTCCTCTCCTCTCCCCACACTGCCTGGCTGCCCATCCCCACTCCCTCTTAGGAAAGTGGAACCTCGATGCTGAGTAGGGCCAGGGACAGAAGCTTAATACCCTCCCGGAGGCAGAGGAGCCTTTGCTGCACTATTTGCCCTGGCGTTCTTAAATGTGCTGATCAAGAGCAGGATGTGCTAGATTGTTTTAAAAACTCCCCTCACAAGGAACAAGCCAGAGAGATAATTTATTGATCACTGATCACACCTATTAGCCCAAAGCCACATGTATCTAGGTCCTTCCCCCAAGACCATAGATGGTTCCAGGGATTTTGGCTATGGAGAGCTTGTATGCTTGGCCTCCGTTTCAGAGGAACATGAACTCCGCTCTGGACCTCATGAGATGATTCCCACCGGCACTCCAGGCCTTAAATGGTCTAGAAAGCTCAGTGGATTTTCACTGTTTATTTTCAGGATTTTCATGTACGCTAACTCTGAGTTGGGGTCGGGGTAGGTCTGTATAAAATACCAGGGAAGGTGGGCAACAGAGATCTGGGCAAGGGGGAACCTACAAGGTTTGAGGACAGCGAAATGGTCTCAGGCGTAATTGACTGGTCTTTCCCAGGTCTTGCCGCGCTGGGCAAGAGAATGCTGCCTCACTCCGATTCAACGACGACAGTGCAGAGCTGGGGCCAAGGCAGTGGTCAAAAAGGAAAGGAGCCCTCGTGGTCTTCAGGGTGAGAAGTTCCCACAGGAAACCAGCAGGAGGCGGGGAAAGAGTCCAGTTAGGGCAGCACTCGTGGAGCAACAGCACTGAGTGAGGTCTCAGGGCCACGGCGACGGGGAGGCGGCTGGCAGTGGATGTGGGGTCCCTTCTCTCGCCTGCTCCAGGTGCTCAGGCCAGACACCCCTTCCCCCCAGTCAGAGAGTTCTGGAATTCCAGAGAAGTGAAGCATCTGCGGGTGCGGGGCCGGAGACAGGTGTTGGGGCTCAGGGTCTCAGCAGGAGGCGCGTTCCAGGCCACTTGAGCCACAGGAAGGGGACCAGGCGCCGGGTGAAGGTGGCGGTGAAGGTGTAGATGAGTTCCTGCGACTCTGCGTTGGTGAAAGTCACGGTGCCCCCTTCATAATCCAGGGCGATGCCCACTCTCCGGGGCTGCAGCGCGGGGAAGAGCTCGGCCTCGGGGCTGGTGTTGGCCCAGATGCCCGCGGAGGACAGGCGCAGCGCCCACACCCCGTCCTCTGGCCGCAGGGAGAGGTCCCCCTTCCTCTTCACAGAGTCCCTGGCCACACCCACCATGCAGCTTTCCAGAACTTCCTCCTCTTCTTCTTCTTCTTCTTCCTCCTCATCACCCAAGGACTCCTCGTCCTCGTCTGTTTCCCAGTCGTCATATCCATCCCCATAGCCGGCCTCCTCTTCCTCCTCCTCCTCTTCCCCCTCTTCCTCCTCATCCCCCTCCTCTTCGTCCTCAGACCAGCCCTCCCGCTCCACCTCCACTTCCCAGTAGACCTTGCCCCAGGTGAAGCCCTTGCTGCCCAGCACGCCCGGCTCGCAGTCAAACTGCTGGGGGTGCAGGTAGGCGCTCTTGTACAGGCTGCTGTAGGTCACGCACTTCCAGTCCTCCGACAGCTGCAGGTACCCACTGGCCGACTGCGGGTCCAGGGTGACACTCACTGCGGGGACAAGGAAAAAAGTAACAGTGTCACTGTTTTTAAATTATAAGGAATAACGTTTATTTTGATAGTGTTAAACAAAATTAAAATTGCATACATTAGTAACATAACTCGACATCTGGAATTTGGTGTTAAGTGTGACACATTTTCTTGCTTTCCCAGGTTCTGTTAAATCACCATACCAAGACTGCTTTATAAAACGGATGCTGAAATTTAACCTTACTGTTCTCGCTTATGCTCTGATTCCAAACGAAACTTTTCATAAGCTGCTTCTATCTCTCGGTCCACCCCATCATCAATATCATGGATCACCAGCCCCCGATAAATCTGTTCCATCTTCTTCATAATCTGGAGAGCAGTCCTCTCTCTCTCAAGTAATTCCTGATGTTCCTCTTGGTCATCTGGACTGGCCACAGTGAAGGACGACAGCATCAGTTGTGTGATGTTGGTTCATGCATAAAGTAGTCAGGATCGTTTTCAGGTGTTGAAGTTGCATGGACTCTACCCCAGTTACTCAACCGGAGTTCTACCAGCTTCCAGAGTTTCTATTTTAGATCTCTGTGGCAGTTTGCATCTGGGACAACATTTTCGATTCTCTGAATAATTTCTTCCGTATCACTCTTTCCTTTTTCCCTCCAGGCATCTTCTGAAAACCCTGTCAACTTCAGTAAATTTACTGCACAAATCAAGTTATCATCCACATGATTAGAAAAGAGAATATTCGGTCCGGTGCACTGGCTTATGCCTATAATCCCAGCACTCTGGGAGGCTAAGGTGGGTGGATGGTTTGAACTCAGGAGTTTGAGACCAGCCTGAGCAAGAGTGAGACCCCGTCTCTACTAAAAAAATTAGCCGGGTGTGGTGGTGGCGCCTGTAGTCCCAGCTACTCGGGAGGCTGAGGCAGGAGGATCGCTTGAGCCCAGGAGTCTGAGGTTGCTGTGAGCTAGGCTGACGCCACGGCACTCTACTCAGGGCAACAGTGAGACGCTGTCTCAAAAAACAAAAAAAAGGAAAAGAGGGTATTCAGCAACTACCGAAGACCAGCCTGAAAAACATCTGCTCTTGTAACCCGTCCATTCGTTGCCTAGATCTCCAGGTTAAGATAAAGCTTTCCCCAAAAAGAGTACAAACGCATGAAATTGTTTTTGAGTAACCTCTTGCAGCTTGATCTTTAACTTCGCATTTGGTGCAACATCTGAGGAGCGGTGATCGGCAGAAGGCGCCGCCCCGTGAGCTCCGGGTCTGCTGACGGCACAGGTAACCACAGGGGCGGGCTCCCGCGTGAGAGAGCGCGGGACAGACGTGGCCTGTCGATAAATGAGTTCCGCACGTTCTTGCAAAGCACTGTCTGTCGTAACCCAACCACTCAGGGTCTCTGCAAACTGTTCAGTTTCAGTTTCAACACCGCCAGGCTGCTCCGTAAGAAGATTCGAAAAGTCCCGAGCATGCGTGAGGATCACCCTCACAGCCATCCCCAGAGGATTCTGTGTAATCAGAATAACCTGCTCGGGAAACGTGGGGGCATTCACACACAGCCTGGACATTAACGCAGGGGCTACAGCCACCGGGGGTTAGCCTCTGCCGACTCGTAGTTCCGCTGTAAGATTTTATCCTGCCTACTAGGTGGGCTCTCGGGGGCCTGGCTGGCTCCTGGCCGGGCCTGACCCATGTCACGGTTGTCAGCACAGCAAGTGTAAGAGAGGGCTGGGGGCGCCACCAGTCTCCACAGTCCAAGGGGCGCCATTCACATCCTGGCCTACGTGAGCGGTGGCTCTTGGTGGCGTGCAGTGAGCGACCTAACTGCAGGGCTGAGCAGGAGCACAGCAGTGGGGCCTGAGGCAGAGACGGCCTCCGGCCTTAGGCTGCCACTTGCGTTTGCTCAGAACGCAAGAGTCGTGAGGCCCACAGATGAGAGGAAGCTCGGTTACAGGGAAAGGACTGGTGGTACGACCTGTGAGCACAGAATAATCAAACATGGGGCAGAGGAGGGTCGGAATAGCAAGCGGAGGTCTCTGTTGCATTGGTCAGAAAACGCAAGGAGGGAGGGAGCTTCTGGTTTGCAGCTAGAAAATTCTTCCTATTGCAAGGGGCTACCTGGGGCCAAGGGAGCGGTCAGGACGGGGAGTTCTCTACATGTGACATACTTGTGGGAACACCCTTTGGACACTCACCTGTCTTATATTCCAAGTCTCTCAGCAGCTTCCCTGAGGAGAACAAAGGACAAAAATGACCCTCAAGCCCAGAAAATCTGTGGGCCCATTTCTTCCTCAGGCAGTATTGATTTCCTGACAGGGCTCCATCCCCACGACAATAAGCAGGAGACCCTCAGAAGAGTGAGGCTGGAGAATGACAGACAGGACCCTCTGTCTACACGGTGGCCCCACTGTGACTCCCACCTGAACGCTCTCCCCAGCCCTTACCTTGGAATTCCCTCAGGCCTCGCTGGAGAGAAAGGAGCTTCTCTGAGAATTCTCCTGTCCTTTTTTTAACCACCCGCGCGATGGGTTTCCCAATCCAGAACTTCTTCCGTGGGTACCTAAGAAGATGACAGACATCACAGCCTGTTACTTAGCTCTTCTTACTGTTTTGCGTATTTATCTCTCAATCCTCAGGACAATGTTGAAATGGGCAGGAAAAGTATGATTATTCCCAGACAAGTGACAGAGAAATAGGGACCCGAAGACACCAGCTGAGACAAGGCTTAAGACATCGGCAGATGCCACATCCAGAGTGCTCCGTCTCCTCAGCCCCACTTCTAGTCTCTCCACTGTCCCACCTCAAGGAAGGA